CTACAGGGTGTTTTGAAAACCTTGGAATTCGAAGTGGAATACTTCTCGTATCTCTGTGACTGTGAAAGACATCGAGAAGGTGAAAACTGTTTCTTGTAGAACATTTTACGTAGCGCAGTCTGTTTTTGTACGAAAATAAATATTTTTGAAGATATTAATTAAAGTTATCTTTTCGCAAATAGAACACTGTAGGTATATTTTTTGATGAGCTTCTCAAAAATATATAACATTGTATATTTATTTTTACTATTTATTGCAATATTTAAAAGATATAATTTTCTTATTAGTAAGTAAATAAAGATAATAAAATATCAAAATAGTATTTAATAAAATATTTATACACACAACAAATATTAGAATTTTATTTGGGACTAAATTATTTTACTTTACACTGTTACTTAAAAACTTGGCTGATAACATTTTCCAAATCTTCGACATTGTTGTAGTTGCCACGATATATTTAATTTTTCAAGAATACAGAAATCGAGAACGGACAAATCTGGGAATCTGGTAAGCCATCGTATGCGTCCATTGGCTCCAATTCATTGATTTGGAAAATAATAGTCGTTTAAATTAATAATGAATATCCTCTAAAAGTTCCTGTACGATATCTCCCAAAATTTACAAATAGCGGTAAGGTGTTAAGTTTCCCTGATATATAAAGAATTTATTAGTGGCTCCCAAAATAAAACAACGGACAGATTAGCAGTATTATACTTCTAATAATTCTTTTATTATATCGTTTCTTTTATTATAAATTCTGGCCTACTCATAAAAATAAATATGTAAAGAAATGTTATCTTTTAATGAAAACTTTTAAATATTGCAGTAAATAGTGAAAATAAATACAGAGTGATATATAGTTTTGAGAAGCTCATAGCAAGCCAGATCTTATGATTTAAGAGAGCGGTACAGAGAAGAAAGTAACTAAGAAGTGGGCTATGAAAATCGTGTTTACAACATTTTCCGTTTGACAAAAGAGTGGAACAGGTTTGTGCAAACTGCATCCTTCTATATATTCAATAATAACGACGACACCGTATGATTTCAACCAAAATGAGACACCCTGTATACTTTAATACGTTTTTAGACACGCATTTAGTAATAACATAAACAGACGATTTATACCAAATTCGAGTCGAAAGTTAATATTCTATAAGGCATTTCTATAATACGAATTAACTTTTATTATCTATTTATCATAAAACATGACATAATATGACATTAGATGAGGCGAAAATCTGAAGCTCAGTCGTGCTGTTTGAAGACACTATTGTAAATTTTATTGTGAATGCTTTATCTCCAATATATTGATTCACCTTAAGCGTTGAATATATTTTTTTCACTTTTTACGATTTACACACTTGCTATACAATGCGATCCTAATCTTTCATGTCCAAGTATGTTCTTTATAAAATAAAAGATGAACATTTGTTTGCTGAAATTATATTAGAATTTTTAAACTATCTATAAGGCCCATTAGCCCTGGTAACAAACATAAGATGTTGATTTGGGGGCAAGGGAGTGCCCCCGCCAAGTCGAGCACAGCCGTACCATCCCTTTCTTGAAAGTAATAGCGGCACTTTTGACCACCCTGTAACTTCGTTGTGGATAAAGCAAGAATATTAATTTTAACTAAACATAAGGACATACTATAGCTGTCTATATTACCAAAATAACTAGTAATTATACCTCATAGTTTGTAAATTAACTATCGCTTGTCAAATTTCTTTAATTCGACTCTCTGACACATCATCAAAATTCTAAAGAACTTCTAGTAGTAATAGATTTGTCACAAACTTCAAATTTTGAATTTTAGGTAGCCTTTAAGCTTATAACAAAAAACAATTATAATCTCGAAATATCCTTATGGATTAAAAGTTAGTTGTCCAGCCGCTACCGGTAACTGACTTTCCAGTCGAGAAAAAAGGTAGGAAACTAGAATTAAATGAAGCGGTCTATTCTGATTTTATTTGTGAATGTAATTACAATAATTTAAGGATTATGAATTAGGGCCACTCAAACTTCTTTGACTTCGACAGTGACTCACTCACCGTCATCAAGGTAGCATTAAACTTATAATGGAAGGAAAAAATGAAAAATCTGGAAATATTCTTATGGATTAAAAGCTAGCTGTCGCTAGCCGCTACCGGTAACTGACTTTCCGCCGATGGTAGTAGAAGAACCGGTGATAGAATTGTTTTGAAAATGTGGATTTTTATATAAAGGCATCTGCTGCATCTATCTAAAATATTGTCATTGTTACAGTTTTGCCGGATTATTTCAAAAGTGGTATCATCTTTGCTATTTTAAATGTTATACCCAATATATTATTACATTTTTGGAAACTACTCTCATATTTCATAATTTTTCTATTATACTAACCTATACCTATCTCTTATAGTTTTCGAGATAAAAAATAAAATATGTGTAAAATTTACAAAAACATGACTTTGAATAAGCGTTAGTAAAATCATGACTTGGATATTTTTAAAGTTGAAATTTAGGTTATAACGAAAGTCGGAATATTTGATATTAACTGACTGTATACAATAATTCAAAGTTTATGAATTATTGCTGGACAAACTTCTGTAATATTATTTTGAATGATACAAAATAACAGACAAATAGCCTACAAAAAAGAGATCCCACCCCCCATCACAAACATTGAATGTAAAACAATGTCAAGTCTCGCAATACAATTCTTTCACTATAAAAAGTTGTGAGATCTCATGTAAAACCAAGTCAGTTTATTTTATTTAGTTTCTCTTTAAGCACCTGTTCAACAATTTTGGTACAAATTGTTAGTATCAGACATCTTTATTTCTTTGATAATTATAATGACTTGGCAATTGTGCGGTATGATATTCTCTGCTAATTAAAAAACTTTATTCTTAAGGGCATTGTTTTAGATTTACTGGCCAACTCATCATTATTACAGAAATAAAGATGTCTAATTTTAATACTATAGAATAATTAACTGATTAATACTAATAATTTGTAACAAAATTGCTGAATAGGTGTTTAAAGAGAAACTAAATAAAATAAACTGACTTGGTTTTACATGAGGTCTCACAACTTTTTATAGTGGGAGAATTGTATTGCGGGAGTTGGCATTATTACATTCTATGTAGTTTTTGATGGGATTTAACTTTCATCTGCTATTGGTGGTTATTGGTTATACCTATTTATGCGTCCAATCAATATAAACGGTTTTGATGTACGGTGTGTCCCATTTTGGTTGAAATCATAGGGTATCTTCGTTATTAGTGAAGATAGAAGGGTGCGGTTTGCACAAACCTGTCCCACTTTTTCGTCAAACGGAAGATGCTGCAAACAAAATTTTCATAGCCCTCTTCATTTCTGAGCTACAGGGTCTTTTCAAAAATTTTGCAGTTTGGGACACCCCCTGTATCTCTGTTATTGTTAAAGGTATCGAGAAGACGAACTGCTTATTGTAGAACTTTTTATGTAGAATACAATGGCGTAGTCTGTTTTTCTACCAAAAAAATATTTTTGAAAATATGTTATGTAAAGTTATGTTTTTTCAAATGGAACACTCTGTATATTTATAAATCATATGATCTGTCTTGCTACGAGCTTCTCAAAAATATATATCACTCTATATTTATTTTCACTATTTACTGCAATATTTAAAATATATAATTTTCTTATTAATAGGCCGTGATAAATAACAAAAAATCAAAATGGTATTTACTAAAATAGTCATACACATATTAAAATTTATTTGGGATTGATATATTTTACTTTTGAAATAACTGTTACCACTGAAACTGTGAATATATTTTTCTTTTTTTTATAACGGGATGGGTTTGCAAATATCTAAATCTTGAATTATTAAAACATATTTCAGGTGTTCGACATTGTTGTAGTGCCCACGATATATTTCGTATTTCAAAAATCCCCAAAATCAGAAATCGAGAACGGCGAAATCCGGGAATCAAGGAGGCTATCAATATGCGTTCATTAGTCCCAATTCATTAATTTGAAAAATAATAATTTAAGAGTATTCTAATATTTCCATAGTTATGAGGGGGAATGTTGCCCATCTTGCTGAAAGCATATTTCACGTAAATTAGCTAAAGGAATATCTAAAATTTCCGATACGATAGATTATTCTTACGTATACACGTATTCCAAGATTTACAAATAGCGGTAGAGAGTTAAGTTTCCCTAATATATAATGAATTTATTAGCGGCTCCCAAAATAAAACAAGAGACAGATAGCAGTATACTTTTAATAATTCTTTAGTTTCTTTTATTATCAATCATGGCCTACTAATAAATATGATCTTTTAATAAAAACTTTTAAATATTGCAGTAAATAGTGAAAATAAATATAGAGTGATATATATTTTTGAGAAGCTTATGGCAAGACAGATCATATGATTTATAAATATACAGGGTGTTCCATTTAAAAAAACATAACTTTAGTTCATATTTTCAAAAATATTTTTTTGGTAGAAAAACAAACTACGCCACTGTATTCTACGTAAAAAGTTCTACAATAAACCGTTTTCACCTTCTCGATAGCTTTAACAATAACAGAGATACAGGAGGTGTCCCAAATTGCAAAATTTTCAAAAAGACCCTGTAGCTCGGAAACGAAGAGGGCTATGAAAACTTTGTTTACGGTATCTTCCGTTTGACAAATAAGTGAGACAGGTTTGTGCAAACCGCACCCTTCTTCATTAATCTAATCTTCACTAATAACGGAGATACCGTATGATTTCAACCAAAATGGGACACCCTGTACTATGGATAAAGCGTATATAGATTTTTGTAGTTTCTTGATTCTATAACGAAGAGAGAATCTCACTCTATAAATCATTATATTTAAAAGAACTTGTCATAAATTTCAATATTTTCAATCCCAATAACAATTATCCCTAGTAAGTCTTTCGGAAAGATTGCTTTTGATATTATGTTCCAATATTTCTTGCAATTTGTAATGGCCTAACAAACTTGTTTTATTTCAGAGGGAATGTATCTCAGTTCACATCGGTCAGGCTGGAGTTCAGATCGGTAACGCATGCTGGGAACTTTATTGTTTGGAGCATGGCATCCAACCTGATGGCCAAATGCCCTCAGATAAAACAATTGGAGGTGGAGATGATAGTTTCAATACTTTCTTCTCAGAAACTGGTGCTGGAAAACACGTGCCCAGAGCTGTTTTTGTCGATTTGGAACCCACGGTAGTCGGTAAGATAATCATTATGTTATTAAGCCATGACTGGCTATGAATGTGGTAGACAATGATTCATTATTGAAACTAAAAGAATTTTGGACTTCTATTATCTTTATTTATTTTGCTTACACAACGTGTCGGTCAGAAGTATCACTGGCCGTTATCAATTGTGAATTAAACTAAATCCTTAAACTACTGAGCTTATACCCTGCTGGCAAGCGAAACCTTGGGTCGGCGTTTACATGTATAGGAGTGAATCGCTATGGCAATGTAGTAAGTCGGAGAGAGCAAAAATACGAAGTATTTGTTACATAATCAATTAATTTGACGCTAGATTCCATGCGCTTGGAAAAATACTTGCCTTCTGTCTTTATTCAGTACTTATTTTACTAAGCGTGTTGACCGTACTCTTCGTACACACGCAAATCGGCACCCAAGACCAGATATGGCGACCCTTAGTATGCTAGAGCAGACCATTCACCCTTGAAGATGTTGGGTGAACAATCAATCATGAGGTTGTCCACTGTAAATACCCGCATTGATGCGTTTTATGTGTTGTTGCCATATTGTTGAAATTTCCATACTTGGATTGCTAAAGATTTTATTATTGCTAGATATGAATACGGTCTCTTTCAATTTGCGCTTTTTCCAATGGGGTTCCTTGTGGACAACCCGGGCTTCCGACCATTTTATGTTATGTGCTTGGACCACACATGATCTGCAATGCCCGACTTCATTGTTTCGTTTGGTTTACTGCCCTCGCAAGGCACCTGGAAGATGCACTTTTTCTCTTGTTTTGTTAATTCCGGTTTTGTTTTTGTTAGGACACTCTTTAGGGTCTTCTAGTCCCAGACTTAAAAATAGTTTTAATTTTATACTGCTTGGTTATTCGCGTGATCTTCTGGAATCGTCAAGAGCAAGAGAGAGTATCCCCCTCAGACTGGCGTATCAGTGAGTCGGATTTGCAATTGGATATAATGTTGTCGAGGAACTTTGCAGAGTGACATAAGCTCAGTAGTTTTAGGATTTAGATTACTTCACACTGATAACGGTCAGTGATATTTCTGACCAAAACAAAATTAATAGTAAGTAAAATAAATAAAGACAATGGTCTTTAAAAAAGTCAAGAAATTCATTTAGTTTCAATATCAAATTTTTTTCAAAATCCGGATTTATTACTCGTCAACATATCGAATATTTCAAATTCGACTTGCATTATTGGGATTTCAGAACGGGTTAGAGATACAGGGCGCTTCAAGTTAGGTCAAAAATGCATGTAGATAAGCTCAATATCTTTGTTTTCGTCTTTGTTATATCCAGAAAACAAAATATCTGTAATATCCGTGTTTGGTTTTTTGACGGTTTAAGGTTATTTTCACTATACCTTCCGTCAGCTCCCTTCCATTTCCCTTCCGTTTACGTAAAATATCATGTAAAATAGGACAATGCACACTATCCCTTCCGTTTCCCTTCCGTTCCATATCCTTTCCTTCCATACATATTTTTGGCGGACGGACTACGTATCGGAAACAGCGTTGTCAAGTTCTTACATTAGTACCAGCTCTGTTAATATTTTGCTGATATTTATTTATTCTCTCACTTCATAATTAAACCATAATTCAAAACCTTTTTCAAAATATACACATTTCTAAAATAAAACTTTCGTAATGATTTAAATTTAATAAAAAGTATGGAACTGATACGGAACGGAAGGTTACGTATAGCGTCATTACAATAAAAAATACGGAAAGGATATGGAATGGAAATGGAAGGTATAGTGAGAATCAACCTTTATTCTAGCACATAAAAACAATCTACAAATACAGTCTCAAAAAAGAAATTATTGAGGTCAATTTTTTTGATTATTGTAATAATCTTTATTGTTGGTGATCAAATATCACTCAAGACGTTTATTCGTTTTTAAACTAACTTAAATTTTCCATGTGGGCGCCATATTTTACTTTTCCGCTAAAAATTGTCTATAAGAATAAAGAAAAAGCAAAGAAAGTAAACATTAATTTATTACAAAAACAATGAAAACGGTGTTAACACATTGGAATTGTATTTGAATATGTGTTCAGAAATACTGCCCCATGGAATTTTGTTTAAATTTTAGAACAAAAATCTCGAGCATTTGGTCCTTTGAAAAAACAAGAAAAAAATGGAGACAGAAAGGGTGAGGGAAACTGTTGAAATAAATAGCGAGGATACAAGTCTCAACCTATACTTTTCTATGCTTTATTTTTGTAATCGAGCAACTCTTTTTTTTTCTTTAATATCCTAATTCTTTTAATATCGGATATAGAAAAAACCATTGCATGGACTTGCAAAAGGCCTATGATACCGTGCCATTGACCAAGCTATGGCCAGCAATGAAAAAAAATCTTATCAATGAAGTCTATATTAACGCAGTCAAAAAACTTTATTGTGGAAGTAAAAGCTACATTAAAAAGGGCGGAAAAGCTTCTGAGGAATTTATTGTTTCCAAGGGACTCAGACAAGGATGTTCTTTAGCCCCTCTACTCTTTAAGATATATGTCGAAGAGGCTCTAAAAAAATGGAAAAGAAGATGTGGTGGAATGGGTCTACCAATCGGGGACTCTATGCTCTATACTCTTCTCTTCGCCGATGACCAAGTTTTGATAACGGGAGATTGAGATGATGCTAGCTACATGCTGAGGGTGCTTGAGAAAGAGTTGGAACAATTTGGATTGATTGTAAATATGAAAAAGACCGAATACATGTCTGTAGGAAACGACGATCATAGTGATTTGGATATTGGTATGGGCAAAACAATAAAACACTGCTCCAAATTTAAATACCTTGGAGTAACTCTTTCCTCAGATGGCAAAAGCAATGAGGATATATCTAATAAAATTGGACAGGGAAGAAGAATAATTAGGGAACTGAACTCTCTTCTTTGGAGCGATAGAATTTCAAGAAGAACGAAACACTCGAAACAAGAGAATTTTAAGAAGAACGAAACATGATGTACAACTCTATCTTTGAATCTGTTTGTACCTACGGATCGGAGACGTGGGAACTCACAAGGAGAAACAAGGATAGATTACTTGCACTTGAAATGGACTATTGGAGGCGTAGTAACAGAACATCTCGCCTAGATCACGTAAGAAATGTTTGTATAAGAGAGGAAATGCAAGTAAATGGGACTATCTTGGATACCATAGAATCCAAGCGATTGCTATGGTTTGGCCACCTTCAAAGAATGGATGATTTAAGAATACCCAAGAGAGTATGGGACTGGATCCCAGTAGAGAGAAGAAAACATGGAAGACCAGCAAGAACATGGCAGAATGATGTTCAGGAAGCCATGCTTGAAAGAAAACTGAGAAATGGCGACTGGTGGGACCGGAATTTATGGAAGTCGAGGAGCGGGAAACGACACTAGTCGTAATAACACCCGCATGCATTTATATACATATCTATATTTATATATAGAAAAAAGATCACACATAAATATCACTTTGCGCTTTGAATGTATTCTTCTTATACATTCTTGTCACATTTCATATTTACATGACAAGCAAATTTCGTTATCCTATGTAGAGATTTTACAATAAACCATTTTTTAACCGAAAACACGTCGACACTTTTAAGGTTCAAATATGTTGCACTTATAGTAACTTTTATCCTAAAAATTTCATTTGAATCGCTAAAAGCATTTGGAAGAAAATTAAAATAAATCGAAAAAAAAAACAGAATCGGGCCTATGTTGATATGAAAAAAAATTTTTATTTTTACAAATATATGATAACAACAGATGGCACATATTTTTTAAAACACCCTGTCAGCCCAAGTCGACCTAATTTTGGTTCTTATAATATTCATTGCAATGTAATAATGCTAATATAAGTTTTTTATTTAAAAAAATCATAGGCGTATTGAAAATACCAGACACAAGTCGGCGGTTGTCGACAATCACCTGTTTTTTACATTTTATATTAACTTGTGGCGTCATTTGGAAGAGCTCAATAGAAATATAAAAGAACTAAACCTTGTTCGTTGTAAAAAGCAATTTGACATTCGTGACGTCAGCACTCCGGCAGTTTAACGTAAACGTATCATTGATCACTATTCACAAATATATTCCAGATACGTATAGTGAACAAGTTTAACGTTCGCAACGTTAAATAATTTTGATATTTGATTTTTATCGTGATGGTTTTTTGTAAAAGTGAAGAATTTAGCGAGGAAAATATTAATGATGGATATGAACGTGTGCGGATTCGTGATTGGTCACGATCAGGGTCACGACACTATGACGGGCTATACCCACGAAGGAACCCAAAAAATATGCAAAAAGGGGGTCAGTTTAGCTTAAGTTTAGATTAAGTCTATATTTTTTATTAATGTAAAACCAACTAAAACTTAATTCTAATCTAACCTAAACTCACTTCTTCTTTTGCATATTTCGGGCTATTACCTGGGTATTCCTAGGTTTAACCAATATTCGAACTTAGGTGTAAATTTAAATTTATGGATGGCCCATAAATTTATATTCGCCGTACAAAAAAAAAATTCACCAATTATCACAATAAAAATTAAAAGTTATAAATCGTAATATTTTTTTATAGAAATGCGGGAATAAGGGTGAACGGGGTGCCGCGCCGGTAGACCAAGAAGATACTTGGAATGTAAATGTTAATTTATACTCGAATGGAGCTGCCTCACAGTATAGGCATATTTTGAACCCCTACCGTGCATAGTTACTGTAGAAAAATAAATTAAAATAGTTGGCTCCAACGATAATTTAGTTTGCAGCTTCTTTTCATCATACTTAATAAAAAACCGTCACAACCACTACTCATAGTATGTACCTATGTATTTTTAAACATCATTATGAAATTAAAAATACATAGGTGCCCATAATATGAGTAGCGGTATTTTTTTTTTCGTTCATCATAACGGATTTTGTTATGCTGAAAATAAGCAGCAAAATATATTATTCAACAACTATACCTAGTTTACATTCAGCATGTCCAATTAATATAGA